GCTCAAGATAAGACAACTCATAATCTTGAAGTATAAATTTAGTAGCTCGTCTCTGAACACCCTCCAGGATCGCAAGATAGCGTGACGAGGCTTGAGGTGCCCAGATCTCACTGGCGTAAGACAGGTGAGATCGGACAAGAGAGAGGTAGAGAAGCCGACGACAGCGAGTATCAGTCATTTGACAACAATTTCTCGGAAGAAAACCAAGCAAACGGTTGGCTTTAGCAGTACAGCTGGCAATGTGAGGGGACCACTTAAGGCCATTGCTCACAACCACACCCAGGTCGACTTGTTTGGCTACGGTCTTAATAGGTTGATTGTTAAGGTGGTAAGAGTGAGTTGGAGAGTTGCGTTTCCGAGATACCCTGAGCAAGAGCGTCTTAGATACATTAAATTTCAATTGCCAAGAGATCGATCAGTTGTGCATAGAGTCAAGATCAGTCTGTAGGAGATCTCGATCGGCTGGTGACAGAATTGCACGGTAACATTTACTGTCGTCAGCAAAAAGTGCAACAGTAGAATTCTTAGTTACCTCTGGAAGATCATTCACATACAAAATGAAAAGTAGTCGACCTATGACACTACCTTGTGGCACACCAGATTTAACGTTAAGGAAGGATGAAGAAACTCCTTCGATAACGACACGCTGTCTCCGATTATGGAGATAATCAGCGAACCATTTAAGAAGTTGACCGGAAATTGCAAAAAATTTTAGTTTAAACAAGAGTTTGCTGTGAGATTCGGAGTCAAAAGCTCTAGCAAAATCAAGATAAAGAAGATCAATTTCATTGCCAAAATCAAGAGCACGACCGAGATCGTGAAACACATTCAAAAGTTGAGTAACACATGACCTATTGCAGCGAAAGCCATGTTGAATGTCATACAAAGAGTCCTTAATGAAAGAAGAAACCTGTCTAAAAATCAAGCGTTCAAGTACTTTTGAGACTTGGGAGAGTAATGAAACAGGTCTGTAGTTGGTGACTTCATGAGCGTCACCTTTCTTAGGTATTGGAACCACATTAGCAGATTTCCATTCAGAAGGAAATACACCCTGCTGAAGAGACAACTCGAAGAGAACTGTTAAAGACGGAGCGATGACTTCGGAACAGCGCTTTAAAAGATATGCTGGTATGCCATCAGGCCCAGTAGCCTTAGAGGGTGACAAACTGGATAACAAAGATTGAACTTCAAATTCAGAAACAGTTATTGAGTCAAGAAAGTTTGATGATGACTGGGAAAGAGAAATTAAAGGTAAAGAAGAATTTGAGTCGGAGGTAAAAACTGACGCAAAATAAGTATTAAAAGCATCAGCCTTTTCTTCAGAAGAGAATAGTTTTAGAACCCCTATCTTAATTACATCAGGTATGGAAGATTTTGAAGATTTAGACTTAAAAAATCTCCAAAATGATTTAGAGTTATTGTATAAGGATTGAGACAGTCCAGATAAGTATTCTCTCTTCCTGGCATTAATCCAACATTTGACGTGTTGCCGAGTCTTGCGAAATTTCTCCCACAATTGAGGTGAGTTCTTAGCCTTTGCTTTTCTCCTTAGGGACTCCTTCATGTTGATGGCGTGAAGTAGATCCTTGGTGATATAAGGAGGCGTGAAGGAACGCTTGAGCGATGTTTTCGGAATAAAACTATCGGCAGCAGTAAGGAAAGCAGCTTTCCACTTGGACCAAACAACATTAATGTCGTCACAGTTATTGCGAACTAAATCCACTAAAGAAGCGTTCTGAAGACAGTTTAGGAGGCCAACAAAATCTCCCTTTGTATAATTATAAATTATTCGCTCGGTGGATTGTTTTGGTCGTTGATGCAATTTTAAGTCAAAAGATATAGCTTTATGGTCCGAGTGTAAGGAGATGGAATCATCATCAGTAATTTCAAAGTTGTCAGTCAAATGTTCATTCGTAGTGAGAACCAGGTCGATGATATTATGGCCACGAGTAGATGAGTTGATTAGTTGCAAGTAACTAAAATCAGTGATAAGGTCAATAAAACCAATTTCTGATCCTATGGTAGAAAAACCCGATCCGTCAGACCATTGAATATTGGGATAATTAAAGTCGCCCATTAAAACAACATCTTTAAATTGAGAATCAGCAACAAATTTCAAGAAACGGTTCAGTTCGTGCAGGAAATCAATTGAGGAATCAGGAGGGCAATAACACACAGCGACAAGAACTTTTTTGGATGACGAATTAATCACAACAGAAGCAAGTTCCAATGAATCTGAAACAAAGTCAGTTGGTTCAGTTCTGACAGAATCTTTCACAGCTAACAATACACCACCTCCCCGTTTGCCAGTTTGTCAATCACGCCTAAATAACTTGTATCCAACCGGTAAAATTTCATCATTTCGTACATGATTGGACAGCCAGGTCTCTGTCAAAGCAATAACATCAATACTGTTGCCATAAACAACATCTTGTAGACAGGATAACTTATTCAGGACGCAATTTGTGGTAGAGTCACGATAATTTGCCATTAAACTTGTAACGTTCTGATACCAAAAGTTAAGCGAACCATCGGGCCCGGGATTGGTTTGAACGTCGCCGGATAAACTGATCAGAGTAAATGATAAGTAGCAGGCATAAAGTAGAAAACGGCATCCAGAAACAGGTTTCTGAGAAGAACTTGACAACGGCCGTTGTTTTACCGTAATCCAGTGAGCATGACTATTAACCAACGTTTTTACAATGGTGTCGGTGACATTGGTACTTGCGTACAACAGCTTGTGGCTAGGTAAACCCGAGGATAAACTGCTATTTTTTATCCAAAGATAGAATAAAATTCACACAAAACTCACAACAAATTCACACAAAAATAAAAAATAAATTAAATAAATAATAAATAAATTTAATAATAATAATAAATAATTTAATAATAAATTCACACAGCAGAAAAAGGATATTTCCCTTGGAACTATCGATTTGACTAGGCTTCAGCATTGTTACTTCGTCGGCACATATCAGGGTGACGGTGCAAGTGGAGCTTGCTGGGTATTCAAAGGGAACAGTGAATACTACACTGGTGGGCAAGCTGAGCTGGTTGATAATACGATGGCGTTGTGTGTGAAAGTCAAGCCTGAACAATCAATGTCCACCGGGAAGAGCATGGATATGTCCTTCCGTTGGTCTCTGTTGTATTCGGGAGCAAATGGTGGATAACATGGATAATGTTATACAGAGATGTTGTGCTTGGGTTGTGTTAGCAGTGTGAGCTCAGAGGGTGATGAGTACCGATCATGTTCACCATGTATCAGCAAGTTATGCGGCTGTCCGAATAGAGTAAGCTTCGGAGCTAAGAAAAGTGGTAAGAGTGGAGCTATCAATTTCTCTGTATCCAATGAAATTAACGTAGAAGTAAGAACACAGAACAGAAAACAGGACGCCAACGGGGTAAGCAATACAAACGAAACTGGGGGTAGTGTACTACACAGTCAAGGCGGTAAAGTCGTTGAAGCGGCTCCACAGTGACATAAAACCGGTTTCCATCCACATGAAACTAGGATTCACAAAAGTGGTCTTGGATTGGCTCTATCAAGTCTATATTAGCAAACATGATTCTCAAAAAACTGGTCTCTGAAATTTGACGTTAAACTGCGTGTCTGAGACCAAAATGTATTTTTTTCGGAGGTGTGAAGTGGTCTCGAACCCGTAGTTTCTATACTACTAACGTCTACAAGAAAGGACAAATGTAATGGCGCATTTAAAAACATTACAATAAACGTTTGTTATAACCGCGCTGGAGTGTGAAGAGTGCATGCATTGAATAACAAGAGCACTGTGAGTAACGATTTGCTTGGTTTCTTGACTTGACTGTTAGTAAAAATGTAGGAATGTCTTTGTAAATTCAAAGCAAAGAAAATAAGCAAAAATTAGCAAGTATTTTGAACTTAATACGCAAAATTTATGTTTTTAACGAATATTCCACTGAAAACATGTTGATGTAATTTGATACTTTCCCCACACCCCCTCGGGCGCTAAATTTTGACGAGGCACGTGACCAGCCGCAGCCAGGGTCTTTCCCAAAGAAAGATCCTGGGTATAGTCTAGGACCTGTATAGATTTTTTTATGCGTTTCATTTAGCACAGGTAATCTCAACTGTTTTAGGGTAAAATGACCATGACAGTCAACACGGCATATGTGCCAAAACCTAAATCCCGGGCGAAAGTCCTGAAAATGACCCCGCCCTGAAACGGCATTGCCGACATAGCTCTAACTTCCGAAAAGCAAAAGCGACAGCCTTTCTGAAGTGCTTATAGTGTTTAGAAGGGTTGCTTTTAGGGGTGGTCATTGGAAAGAAAAAATTGTCTAAGTATAATATTTTACCAGAAAATGACTATGCACCACACCAGGTAAATTGCTGATTACGCACAAAATAACTAATATGCCTGGCAGAAATTTAATGTTCTTATTTCCTGAAGAAAATTATCATGGTATGAAAAACTATGCCTAATTTAATATAATTATTGTAGTTTTCATAAGGATTGCCATTGTTTTCTTTAAATATAATACATTTTAATTCACTCACCCCCCACGAAAACACCATTTCAGCCATACTTTGCAGTCTTGTTTGCTTTTTATCGCCGAGTCTCGCTGATATCATCCAGTTGTTGTACTTTTACATAATGATAGATGGCTAAAGACGATTTCGACGAAGTTTAATGAAGTTTTGAAACAGTGCAGTATATTTTATCTTCGATAATGTGTCCTTCGATATTTCGTCAAATTGCCGCCATTTTAATGGCTCGCCGCTTCTCTGCCCGATAAATGCCACTTCTTCGTCTTCCTATGTGTTTAGACTACAGTATCCAAGAGTACTTCGTTGTAGCATAGTCCCAATCGAAAATATGAAAACATTTGTTGGGTTTTGATGGCAAAACCCTCCAGGTAATCATTTAGGTTCAAAATAAAATACAAAGCATTTGAAAGTCACGCGCAATCTTCGTGAAAACTTCTCGTGGACACATGGCAGGGGGGGGTGAATATTTTCACGAAACGTTTGTTCGCCAACACAGAAACCTAAATATATTGTATTTATTGTATTTTTATGAATTATGATAAAAACAATAAATATTTGGGTAGTTTTATTTTAATTCATAAAAATACAATAAATGCAATATATTTTAGGTTTCTAGATCTGTGGTGGCGAACAAACGTTTCGTAAAAATATTTACCCCCTGTCATGTGTCCACGAGAAGTTTTCGCGAAGATTTCGCTTGACTTTCAAATGCTTTGTATTTTATTTTGAACCTAAATGATTACCTGCAGGGTTTTGCCATCAAAACCCAACAAATGTTTTCATTTTTTCGATTGGGACTATTCTACAACGAAGTACTTTTGGATACTGTAGTCTAAACACATAGGAAGACGAAGAAGTGGCATTTATCGGGCAGAGAAGCGGCGAGCCATTAAAATGGCGGCAATTTGACGAAATATCGAAGGACACAATATCGAAGATAAAATATACTGCACTGTTTCAAAACTTCATTAAACTTCGTCGAAATCGTCTTTAGCCATCTATCATTATGTAAATGTACAACAACTGGATGATATCAGCGAGGCGATAAAAAGCAAACGAGACGGCAAAGTATGGCTGAAATGGTGTTTTCGTGGGGGGTGAGTGAATTAAAATGTATTATATTTAAAGAAAACAATGACAATCCTTACGAAAACTACAATAATTATATTAAATTAAGCATTTCATCCCATGATAATTTTCTTTAGGAAATAAGAACATTAAATTTCTGCTATGCATATTAGTTATTTTGTGCATAATCAGCAATTTACCCGGGGTTGTGCATAGTCATTTTCTGGTAAAATATTATACTTAGACAAATTTTTCATTCCAATGACCACCCCTAAAAGCAACCCTTCTACACTATAAGCACTTCAGAAAGGCTGTCACTTTTGCTTTTCGGAAGTTAGAGCTATGTCGGCACTGCCGTTTCAGGGCGGGGTCATTTTCAGGACTTTCGCTCCGCCATGGTCATTTTACCCTAAAACAGTTGAGATTACCTGTGCTAAATGAAACGCATACAAACATCTATACAGGTCCTAGACTAGTACGAGGTTGCGTCCATCCGTGTCGTTGAACAATGAAAAAATTTGTTGTGAAATTAGCGAAGACAAAATAGCAGTTTGTGAGAAAACTGCGGGTCTACGGTGCGGGAAGTTTTCGGATTTGAATTCAGCGTGTTCGAAAGTGTTAGTTCCCATAAAAATATTTCAGTTCCAAGACATGCTTAATGAAAATCGTTTTCTAGGCGCTTTTCGAGGTCACAGCAAACGGCCTATATTATAAAATATATAACTTTACAATTAAACCTTATTGAGGATAAAAATACTGAGGTAAAAGTGTTATAAATGTAGAATAGAAAAACTGTAATTACACTAGTTCTATGAGACTTGATATAATGTAAGTGTTTTTAAATCTATTTGTATTACACTTTGGAATATTAATTTTAAAAAATTTGGATTTCTTAAGTTGTAAGTATTCGAATGCTTTGTCCCCGAGCCGACGGCGCAAAGCGCCGTGCGAGGGTACTAATTCCCCCCGGTTATTTACACCCGGGGAAACGAAAGCATTGGCGAAGTCTAAAGTTCACCAATGATCGCGGGCGTGGCTCACTGTGCGTGAGTGGTCATCCTCACTGATCTCAAAAATATGGCGGACTGTTATGAATAGCGAACACTGTGATTGGTCCAATTTAAAGTTTGCATTATAACGTCGACTGCATGACGACAGCGAAATAGCAAACATTTCTTGATTTGATGATTGATAAATTTCCTGCAAATATATTTCATTTTTGCTCGCATTTTTGCAAGATTTTGTAAAATTCAAGAAAGAAAGAGCGAAAGAATCGGCTAAAAGAAGGGAGCCGACGTTAACGAAGGTAAGTTTGTTTTAAATATTGATTTATAATTGCTTTAAAACCCGACGACCTTTGCGTATATGAAACAACTTTAAAACAAGACAGCGTATAATTTCAGTGTATCTTTAATATTGATTCCCTTTTTGATTATATTGAATTTTTTAAATAAAAAAGAAAGCAAAGTTATTTGCATGCGAGAATTTGAAATAATTTTCGATTGCACACGCAAAGTTTATCGATAAGGCCATTTAATTTACAAAGGCAGTTTAGAGTTTATAAAGAACACTTTAAAACGTTTTGCGAAGCGTTTGTAGCTTATATTACGTATAATATCAGACCTAACATATATATGTTGGGAAATATACTGATAATTTTGTAATTAAAAGTGATCTTTTTAGGCGATTCTTCATTTGTAAGAATATTCTTAAAAAATTATCGTGTTACCATGACAACTACTTTAGATACTTCATGTTCGGAATATACAATGATTTTGTCAGCAATGGGAGGGTTTCTGCATGCATGTATTTTCTAGTAGGTAGGTAAGAGATGGTGAATTTTATGATGTTTGTCATTCACTAATTTGATTTGAAGACTTTAGTACATAATCCTTTCCTTCTTGTCTTCAAAGTTTCCATATCGAATTCTTCAATGGCTTCTGAATACGACAAGTCCGGGCATATGATGCGCAAAGCTCTCTTCTGAATCCGCTCTATTTGGTCTGAAAGATATTCCTGGAGACCGTAATGAAATACTTGACATTCGTACTCAAGGTTAGATCTTATAGAAACAATGTAGAAACATTTTAAATCATTGTCACTAAGACCCGATCTCTTTAGTTGTTTCATCAGATATACAGTCGCTTCGCTGCTTTAGTTGTTAATTTATATCCACATGGGCATCCACTTCATGTCTTGAGTGATCATGCAATAAACCGAGAATCATTGCTTTTTCAACACGCTCTACGTTAATTCCGTTTATCTTTATCGGCGGGAAAACAGTTTCATTACGTTGAAAGTTAATCACAATCTCCCTGCATTTTGTCGGGTTGAGTTCAAATTTATTGTAAGTGGACCAATTCACAATACAATTAGAAGCATATTGCTGGGAACTAGTATACTCTTGATGAAATATTTATTCAGAAACATTGGTGTCGTCTGGGTATTTAAACATATCACCTTCAAAATCATCAGATGGGATCGAAAGAACGTTAATGATCAGGAGAAATAGGCATGGCCCGATATGGTTCCCTCAGGAACTCCAGCATTTATAGGCTTCCAATCTGAAAAACAATCCGAGTGGAGCTTTACTCTTTGTGATCGTGCACGTAAGAAATCTACTATCCAATTAAAAACCGATGGTTTAATACTAATTCGCCGCAGTCTCTGGCAAAGAATGTTGTGGTCTAATAAATCAAATGCCTTCCGATAATCCGTAAGCAGCGCTCGTACGGTTCCGCTCCTCACATCCACAGTTTCTGTCTAACGATGAATTAAGGATATTATGGACAATTTAGTACAGGAGCCAGTTATGAAACCATATGAAAACCATATGAAACCATATTGATTGGGATCTATACATGACATTATTGAAGACTTTAGCTCATATGAAATGACTATTTCCTCAGCAATTTTGCACAATGATGATGTGAGTGATATAGGCCGCAGATCTTTATTAACGTCCAATCCAATCTTATTTTTGGGAAGGGGACATACGTTTGCTAGCTTCCACACCGCGGGTAGCCGTTCCTCCCGAAAAGACGCATTCAATATTACAGTAACAGGTTCGGCAAATAAATCTGCAAACGATTTCAACACCCAATTCGGTAGATTATCGATGCCACTTGATTCACCCGAACCGATACGCTGTAAATGAGACAATACTTCTTCGACAGAAACAACAATTGAGGTATCGTTTTCAGATATAACAGCCACATTATCGTTTGAAGGAGGGTAATTAAGCATGGATCCAAAAACGTGTCATTTATCAGATTGCTAAGAACACTGGGATCTTGTGTATCCTGTTCTAGGCTTGCAAAAATAGTATCATGTGTTCATATGGAAAGACCACAAAACCGTTTCACTTCCCGCCACCAGTCCCTTGATTTAGTGTGCTTCATATCTTTGACATTGTTTTCATAATACAACTTGCGACACCTTTTTCTGGAACGATTGACTTTGTTTCGTAACATTTTATAAAGCATTTAGTTACCTTGGGCAAAAGTTTTTGCCTTTTATTAATAAGGGTGCTCAAGTTATTATTCATCCATGGTCGGTCGTTGTGGTTTGTTATTACAGCTTTGAAAGGTGTTAAAGAATCATTGTCAACCACAATGCATTGCGTGCGTGAATTCGGTCCGCGGCCATTTTGTTGGTCGAGAAATTCATTAAAATAAAGTTGAGTTTTGTCATCCGTGAATATCCTAAACATCTTTCTTGAATATTAAATAGTTGACATTGTTTTGGTTAGAATACGTATTGGAATACTCCATTTAGTGTTTATTTGTCATACATTTCGTCCCGGTTGTGGGTTTTTGTATGAAAAAAATATGGCAACATCAACCAGCGATAGGCCGCCCAAGCGTGGAAGGCCAAAACTTGGTATTGCTATTAAACGAATTGGCTTACAAGCACAAGTGTATGACGAGTGGATTATAAAAAAGAATTCCCTTGGATTTTCTGAGAAGAGCAATAGCGATTTTGCTAATTATTTGCTTCGTATAAGCGACGAACAAAGAGGTCAAACATCGCCTTCAGGTGAGTTTCCAATGTATCCTAAAGATCTTGGCACATAATTTGTTTCGCTCCATGGGAATAGTTACAGGGTATATTCATATATTGTTCATGTTTTTTTCCTGATTACATTTGCTGTAGGTCCATGTCATTCAACGCCTATGGGAAAACAGAGTAGACCCCAATTGTGTGATTATTCTCCCATATTTGCCATGGAGGATGAACCTAGTCATGATGAGTAAGTATAAACTTTTGAATATAAGTATGTTCGTGAATTGTGATTTGTTTGCTAAAACATTACGGCATAATTTGCTTATTTAGAATTGTAGATGTTACTGGCATTTCAAGTCTCAATGTGAGCACAGTTGAAAGTGTGTCTGTTACACTCAATCCTGAATTTGAAGTGTATGCTGGGGATATTTCAGCAGATAGTTTGAGTGAAGATTCAGAGTATGATGAAATAAGGTAAATTAAATGCATATGCATTGATCAGGTTAACTAAAAAGGTGTTTGTGAGGTGCTTTTGGAAACTGTTTTGTGCCCCTAGATTTTTAGCTTTTGTGCCCCCAGATCTAGTGAAAACCTTCCCAACCCTTCTATCTGGCCCTGAATAAAAATCTCGTGGGTAGGAAAGTAAATGGGGATCAGATGTTCCAAATATGCCTGACCTCCCTCTCTGGATTAATATTTATATAGTTCTGTCTCAAGTGAAACGTCAACAATGGAAGTTCCAGGAAATGTTGACTTGATTACTGATATGGATGAGTTGTAAGTTCTTTTAGCTGTTATTGAATAAAAGCTACTTTACAATGGCATTTGTATAATTAAAATTATTGCAAGACAAATTGCAACAAGCATTGCCTTTGAAACTGAATTTTACTTTTGGTAATAAAGTAAATCTGGATCTAATACTATGGCATTTTGAAAATGTTGATAATAATGAGTGAACAGTATCAAGTATTATTGTTCATTATACTGTGTTCTTGTTTTTTCATTGGCTACAAGTAATTTTAGGTATTTGTCGGTGCCCATGCTATTTTCAGTGGAAACAGTAAACTGTATAGTTTATTCTACCGAAGAGATATTTCAGTGGTGCTTTGTTCGAAACTACAAAATTGACAGGAAAATTTATGAAAAGTCAATGAATTTTTATTTGTTTTTAATTTTTGTCTCTTTTATTTGTTACTGTTATAGAATGAATGATAAAACAATTATTCAGCTTACACAGGATATCCAGAATCATTCAGACCTCAGTCATTGGTTGGTCGCATCTGGCTTTGGCAGATACATTAACCTTGGTCTGAATAATTCTGGATATCCTGCTCAACCTCATTCAAGAATTGATCTGATAATAATTTTGACATCTGATTTTGTTTCCAGTGATTCACAATCTGAATATGACGATGAACGTACATTAAGTGGTTCTGTGGGTTCATCATCCACAAAAGGTGAAGAAGATATGGAAATCAGCTTCGGAGATGATTGTGGTAGCATCGAAGTTGTGGTAGAGCAGCAATTTGGCCCAGAAACAAGAGAGGAATGGAAAAAGAGGCTGCAATCAAAGTTAAAAGAAAAATTTGAATCAATGAACGGCCAGAGTGATGAACACCAAAAGTATTTCAGCCAGGATCGGGTTGTTGTTGATGTTGATATTATTTTGAACATGTTTCAAAATTGTCAGATCAAAACATGTATGGCCAAGGGTGAAGTTAAAGGTTGGCACATTAAAGGTGGTGTATTGCATGTTATGTGGACATGTGAAAATGGTCATGCGGATGACTGGACATCGTCGAAGGTATTATGTGAGAAGAGGGGGCAGAAGGTGTTTGTAAACACCTTGCTTATGGCTGCATCTATTTTAATTACCGGCAACAATTTGAAAAGGTGAGGACACTGTTCACATTTCTTGGAACTGGTTTTTTGTCTGCATCAACATTCCACAGAATCCAAAGGAACTACGTTGTGCCTGAAGTGTCATCCCTCTGGGAAGAAATGAAGAAGGAAATTTGGGCTGTACTAAACAATGAGACTTTAATCTTGTGTGGAGATGGCAGAAGTGATTCTCCTGGATTCTCTGCCAAATATGGTACTTATGTACTAATGGAGCAGTTCCTGGAGGTCATTGTTGACCTGGAGGTAATAGACAAAAGGCAAACTGGTGGAGTATCAACAAATATGGAAGTTGCTGGCTTAAAAACGCTTCTTGAAAGGCTTGTTGGAAACTTGGTGGTCAGTGAAGTTGTCACAGATGCATCTACTGCAGTTATGGCTCTAGTCAGAAGAATGAAAGGTAATTATAAACAAATGTAATTGTGATCTTTTCATTTGTGAAATTATGAAAATCTGTATTTCATCTTTAGTTCATGTAAGTAAAATAATTAGGACTTTTATTGAAGGGAGCTTAAAGGTTTAAGCAGTTTGCCAATTGCTGAATTCGTATTAGAAGACGAGTTTCCGTCTGAGATGGGAAACTCATGTAAGATACAAATTCAGCTAGTGATATGTTTCCTCTCTCAACTTTTCCATCTATTATGATCTCAACAATGAAAAAGTTATACAAGTTTCTCGTATTAGACAGTAAACTTG